GGACTCCAACCTAGAACCCTCTGCTGTCCTATTTAACTTAATAAAAACTTAATAGCAAGTCGGAATCGCCCACATACAAAAAGTTACACTCCAGAATGGAAAAGTCGAGTTAATCTTCCTTATTAGTCATTTTTAGTACTTTATTATGACAAAAATATATAGAAAATACCCCGAAAAAGCTAATTTGGAAAAAAAGAATGTCCTAAATTTAGTTACTAAATAAGAAAGAAAAGGCTTAAACCTTTAAAACAAAACAGTCAGAAACTCTTTTGGACCTTATTTTGAGAGTTTAAGTTAGTTTTTACATCTCAAATCTTTAATAGCACATCTAATTTATATTTTTTTTCATGCATTTAAATCAGACCATTGAATCTATTCAACAGGTAAAGAACCCCTCATGGTGACCATTTGTGTGTTGATTACAAGTTTTAAACACATCTTTCTGTGTAAATATCTCATGATACATTGCAGCAAACTAGGGTCAAACAAACGTCAAAAGGTGTGGGTCATAGTCAGGTCATGTAAAGAAAAAAATGATTAAATACATTTTTTTTCAAATAAAATATATTTGCTGTATGTTTTATTAACACATTTTTCTATTTTTCAAATATAAAATCTGTATTTTTCTCTTTGGTAACATAAAAAATATGACAAAAAAACATACATTTAGCCTTTTAGTCTGGAAATCACGATAATAGCATTCTTTTTATTTTTAGTTTATTGTGAAAATGTAAAGAATATCTATTAACTATTTATTAAATTCGATCCCATCGCATTGCAATATTTTTAGGATATTTTTTAGGATGTTTTTTTCTTTTTTGCAATAACGTCAAAGAACATGAATAAAAATACAAACACACAAATAAAAGGCTTAAACTCACAGAATAAGATCCAAAAGACCATTTGAGTGGATCACACTTCAAGTCTTGGCTAGATGTCTATATTTGCAGTGTATATCCCAACAAAAAGAGTCTGGAACTTCTTTTAGGAACTATTAACTCAACAAGAGCAAAAAGTGTGAGATTCTGAATTGTGTCTGAAAGGTTTGAGTCTGTTACTTAGTTGCTGCTTCTCAGAATGGACTGTGTTTTTCTTGTTTTAAAAAAATCTTTTTCAAAGATCTTTCCTTCAAAATTAGAGGAAAACTATAGGAAAAGGAGATTTTTCTGGCTTAATGAATCATTTTACATGGGTACGTTAGCGTTTTTTTAACCTAAAGCCAATCTTTTCTTATAGTCTGACTTGTACAGTTTTCCCTTAACGTTGGACTGACCCTACGGTATGACAGCAATGCCGATTTTGATTGGCCCATCCCATTGGCTCTGCTTTGTTGTGGGCGTTGAATAGCCGTCTCTGTTCTGTGAAAAGGCCCATTCTGGTTCCCAGCCCTCATCCCGCACCCACACACGTTTTTTTTGGGGGCATGAATTTCCACTCGTATGCTTTCTTGCTTGATTGGGAAGTTCGGTCCGGGCACAACGAGCACCACTGTGTTCAGCACTGAGAAAGCCTTTTGTTTTCAGTAACTGGCAATGGAACATGGCATCAAGAGAGGCTTTTTCCCCTCCTATCTCTTCTTTTATGCTCGGGACGCCATGGTGCCGTAGTGTCCTCGTCCCTTTAGCTGAATATGCTCAAGCGAAAGGCTTTTTGTGAACCTAAAGTGGGAGCTTTTGAAGGAAGAGAGGGAATGATCCTGGGACTTCTTCATGGTGACGTCTAGTTTTGACGAGCTAAAGCTGGGAGGATGCCGCGCCGGAAGGTCTACCGCGTCCAGGTTCGAGAGAAAAGTCAAGTCGTTTTAGCCCTAACGCGACCGGGTTTAACATTCCCAAATAGCCCTGCCCTGGAGGTCCTTTGCCGAGGCTTTGAGGGAACTTAGTGGAATCGTTTTCCACCGGTTTGCCCGCAAAATTTCCCCATTTCTTCCCTGTTAAACCTCTCAAATCTAAGAAATCTGAAGCAATCTGAAGCGGAAATGATTGGTGTGGTTGCCTTCAGGGGATTTGTTCAGTAGACTCTTATGCAGCCCTGGCTGTTGTCTACCTGTCCAACCCGATTGGAATGAGAAAAACATGTGATAGTTAACCCCAAATGCAATGGCACCATATAACGGATTTAGGAACAATTCCTAAATCGTAGCGGAAACCACCTGAATTTTAACCGATTCTTGATTTGGATGTGAAAACAGGACCTCCAGGCGGAGGTGGACAGCCACACGGAGCTGTATCACTCCCTGGACGAAAACGGCCAGAGGATCCTGAGCTCCCTGGGGGAGGACGGGGACGGCGTCCTGCTCCGCAAGCGCCTGGACAACATGGGCCAGCGCTGGGAGGACCTGCGCGCCCAAACGCTGCGCATGAGGACCTACCTGGACTCGGAGATGGCCCCGTGGAAGAGGCTGCACCTGTCGCTGCAGGAGCTGCTGAACTGGCTGAGGCTCAGGGGTCAGCAGCTGGAGCAGGAACCGCCTGTAGGGGGCGATGTTCCCGCCGTGCAGACGCAGCTGGACACGCACAGGGTGAGGACACACCCGCAAACGGGCCGCTTTCGTCTTGTTTATTTGTTTTGAAAAGAGCGAGTCTGTCAAATGTTCCCTCCTGCTTTCATTTTCTAACCGCTAATTTCAATGTTAGCTATCCTTACTTTCTAATCGCGAGGTGAGGGTTAGGGTTAGGGAGGGTGTTTACAGGACAACTGAGTTATAAACAAGCTTGAACCGTCAATCAAATGTATTTCAAAGCTGATTGAGATATTTACAAATGAGAGCAGCACTACGGGATGTTTCAGGGTCACCATTATCAAAAATCTAAGTTTGAAATGTGACTCATCTCATTGGAGAGTTGGACCAAAATAGGCCAACTACATTGGAAAACAAATGGCATGAGTTTGGTTGGAGGATTGTAAATGTATCACTTCTGTCCTAAAAATTCATTAAGGTTGTGGAGACATAACCCTAACAACTGGAATGAGCTATGTGACAACATTTGGAGCTAAAATATCATTCAAATGTGAGAAACTGTACTTGGGTAGCTGGGACGAAGGAGGTTAAAGACCACTGAGTTACTTGTTCCGAGAAAGAAAGAAACTTAGAACATGGCGGAAAGAAGAATTCCCTATGACTGGATTAACATAAAAAGACATATTTTACTAACCTGGACTAAATGGTCAGAGGTCGTAAACCATTTCATTAGACCTCCTTTAGGAATGCAGACTCAGAACTTTGTCTAATCTAAAAGGTAGAGAGGGGGTCTGCTTCCTTAAACCCAACACATTTGGCTCAACAATGCGTCCTTGTTCGATTTAAAAAGGACAGGTGCCATTAGCATGTGTGTGTTTGCAGGTTTTCAAGAAGGATTTAAGAATGAAGGAGCCTGTGGTGACTAAGGCCCTTGATGATGTGTCGGTCTTTCTGTCTGAACTGCCTCAAGACTCCCCGTCGACTGAACAGAAAGGTAACCCTAATACGTTTTCTTCAGTAGTCTGCAGCTTTACCTTAACGTTGTCACAGGGTTATATTGTGTTGTTGTGTTAAGGGCTTTAAGATAGAGGTACCTCATGACAAAGATGGTTGCCTAGGTTCAGATCCACAGGGATAAGACCGGGTTGGTTTAGCGATACTCAGGAGACTCCAGCTAAGCGCCTCCATGTTGGAGTTATTCCTCGTGACTGAGATAGTCATCTTGCTGTAGCTTCAAATTGTAGTCTGTCCTCGAGTGCTACTCTCCTGCTGGTTTTAGAAGTTTCCCTGCTTCAACACAGCCTGTTCACAACAGGATACCATTATGGGACTTGTGCTTGTGCCTCTGAACTGATCTACTTCATCAGAATCAGGTGTGTTGAAGCAGGGAAACCTCTAAAAACTGCAGGAAAGTGGCCCTACAGCACCGGAGTTGGACGCCCCTGGTTTAAGGGAAGACTGTTGCATCTTCATGCATTGAACCATGGCTCAGGGTTACTCACTTCCTAGGAGTCTTTATGGGATGTCTGAGAAGGGCTGCCAGATGGGGATTTCATAGATGCCAGTCATCCATCCGATGATAATCCAAAGAGTTTGAGCAAAAGCAACTGGACTTCTTTAAGCCTCATCTTTAGGATATTAAATGAAACATATTTAAGATCCAGTAAGGAGTGCAGTTGCCTTTACTCAAACCTTGATCTGAACCCCAGTGAGGTTTTGCTCGTGGACTTCGGTTCTAACAGTTATCAGCTACAACGAACACTGTGTTTGAGAGTGAGGTGGTCCATAACTCTTTGTTATTGTCACAGGACTCCAAAGAGTAAGGTGTTCAACTGGACTGAATTACATTCTGTTATGTCAATTCTTAAAGATTAGATGACCTCAGATTGCTTTTACAGCCCAGTCTGCTGTTAGATTCCCTCGACCACCTCTGCGGTTTTAGGGAGGAGACCATGTTCAGCACATTCCTGGCCTATGTACTTTGTCATGTTTGTGCTCAAGATGACAAATGGATGGAAGTTTCTCTAGACTGCTATGCAAAGGTCTGAGAAAGGCTCTAATCATGCGAGTCCAATACCGATGGGATGGATGGATCTACTGCAATGGTCTTTAAGACGATAGGGTTTAAGCTATCTGAACCTACTGCTAAGGACAAAGAGGATGGGGGTGGGGATAGAGGAGGTTTCATGTTGGTTCTGACAGGCAAGGCTGTGCTAATATTCATCACTAAATTGGAGTTGTCATTATGGAGATGTGACAGGGACATGTGGGTAATACTAAGGTTACTGGAATCAGGTTTTGAGCATCCTTTACTTTGTTATCACTGTTATTACCCAATCTGAAGGCTTTCTTTTTCGTCCTGCAACACTTTCAGGTCTCTGTTTGATGTAGGGTCCGTTATTTGAGAGAAGCACCTCTCTGATCAACAGCCAATCCAAGAAAACTGAATCCAAAAGTTTAAACATTCATACTGTTACGGACTGTCAGTTGGAAAGGAGCCAGACGGTGGTCTGAATTTCCTAATAATCTTATAAATCTTCACCCAAAGAATAAAATAAGTTGTCTGGTTTCTGGACCCGAGTGTTGAAAGGTTTTCAAAATTTCCAACAATTTCCACAAATCCATTGAGCTTCTGTGTTGTAGCAGAAAGAAGAAAGAAGAAGGTCATAAGCAGAAAAGAAACCTAATGCCCACTTTCTCCGTTGGCTTGTTTTTTGGCCCAACCCTCAGATATCAGCCCAGAGGAGCGTGCTCAGAACGTCGGGCGCGTCTTGCGGAAGGAAGCGGACGACGTGACCAGCAAGTGGAGTCAGCTCAACGTCAACTCCGCCAGTTGGCAGAGGAGGCTGGAGCTGGCTCTGGACAGGCTGATGGAGCTCCAGGAGGCAGAGGACCTGCTGGACACACAGCTGAAGCAGGCCGAGATGGTGAAGAGTGCCTGGGAACCATTGGACGATGTTCCGGTGGACTCCCTGCCCGATTACATTGAAAGAGTCAAGGTGACTCCCACTTAACTCCTCCACCAAATTGTATTTACTTTTGCTTTATAACTGTGTTATGTGTGGATACTGACGTCCCAACCATTGAAGTTAGCATTTTCGTCTTTATTGTGATAGTTACAGAATCATAAGACAACCAGTTGAGGTCCCCTGTTACCTTTCAGAAAATGTTGGAACTCAAACGGTTTATTTGACTCACACATGGTATTGTCCTCATTTCTAGTGACCTTGATGTCTATTTGGTCAAATTTCTTGCTTTCTTTTACAAAGAAAGTCAAACTTCAATCAGATATTTCTTTAAATATCGTCAGTTTGGCGTCCTTTTTTCACATGACTGCAAAAGTGGGATTTTGAAACAAAAGCAAATCTGTTGGGAGGGGTTTTGTATTTTCAGGGTCTTCAAACCAAATCTCCACAGACTCGCATTGCGTCAAATGGGCAAACGATCGTTTGTGTTTGTGTGTCCACCCCAGGACTTCCAGGAGGAAATCGCACCGATCGAAGAAGACGTGACACACATGAACCAGTTGGCCTCCGCTTTTGATCCCACTGACATTCAGCTCTCAACCAACAACCTGGAACACATAGAGGACCTCAACATGCGCTGGAGGCAGCTCCAAGTAATCAAACCTGCAACCACAGAGTTCGAAACGCTGAAGATTAAGCATGCGTAGTGGCTTTTCTTTAGACTTTAGCCACAGACTGGATCACGTGCAGCCTAACCGTAGCCTTAACCCTAAGCTTCATAGAGATATGCTCTACAGACCAAGCATGTAGTTGAACAAAAAATGGGTTCCGAGTGCAATTCTTAAAGCAACTCATAGTTCAAAACAGATCGCGTACAAGACAGAAACAGTTCGGGACCATAAATGAGTTTGAGAACATCTGGATTAGCTTGCAGCAGCACCAGAACGAGGCAGAGCAGTTGTGTTTAGCTAGTTTTTAGAGTAGTTTAGAGATATTATGGCGTGTTAGGGGAGTGGCATCAGCTTCAAAGTGTGTACAACTGCCTGTGAACTTGGTTGTCATGTATTTGAATGAACACGTCTGTTTGGAGGTGTCTTCACTAGCTGCTTTTCCAAGATCCTGAGAGAACTACACGTAGTTTCTGACTTAGTAGTGTAACTTTCTTCCATTACCAATGGCATGAATGCCAATTTAATCATATTCAGATGTGTCATCTTAATCCCCTGTATCGGCCTTTTGAATTCATTGCTAATTTGTGGTTAAGTCACCTTTAAGTCAAGCATTTCTCTTTCAGATGTCCGTAAAAGAGCATCTGAAGCAGCTGATGGATGCCAGCAAGGAATTCGGACTCATGCATGGTGAGTAAAACTCACTGATACTGAGACGCTTAAAATGAGCCAAGCGTTTCTTCTTTAGGAGCTGTTCTGGTCAGAATTACGGAAATATTAGTGCTATCTCAATGGAAATTCGTCAGAACTCTTTCATTTCATCCATCTTCAAGCAGGACAGTGACTTTACAGTTATGCATTTAGTAATAGCTTTCAGCCAAAGCGACTACAAAAGATGAAAAAGAATTAGAATAAAGTGTATTTCACAGAAAACTATCTACAAAAGACAGTTACAACATCAATAGGCAGTGTTGGATAAGTAGAATGGATAGTTAGCTCTTCATAAGAAGAGGTCAACTGTGTGCTAACTGCAAAAATGCTAACGCTGCTAAACACTCAGGGGTCTAAGAGAAGCATTTAAATGAGTCGGAAGGCCTCATTCTGACTTAGGTGACGATGAAAGAATCTGTGGCATGACTGTTGAAGTCTGGTTGAAATTAGGGCAGCTGGCATAGTTTTGCTTAAAAGAATTAGCCAAAACAATAGCGGCTAGACGGTTTTCTCCACAGCTGCATTGGACAGCCTTCACGATTTAAGTACGGCTCTCCAACTTTAAACAGATCCATGGCCTCAATGACTTTAGCCTTCTAAGAGGACTCAGAGCTCAGCCACCCACTATATTCCTAAAAGTGAACAGTCAAGGGGAAAAGATGACAAATAGATCAGAAAACAGCTACTAATACCACTATGTTTTTGTCTATTTTTGTCATTAACTTCAAGTATATTATGCTGACCTATTTTTGAATTACAGAGTGTATAGTATAGATGTGTGACACTACAAGGAAGGAGTTTAAAGCTTTTGTATTCCCAGAAGTTACGGGAAATGTAATCATGTATATCTAACTTGTATTAGAAAAGCCCCTAAACCCAATCGTGAGGAGGCGTCTGGTAGGTCCTAATGGAGAACTCCCAATATCCTAGATTCCAGTGCTGTGGAAATCCATACCGAATACTAATACTACATGAATATGTGTGAGGGGTTTGGGTCTGTGTTGTAACCCTCTGTTTTTTCTACAGGATCTGTGGAAAGTCCATTTCAACAGGGCGTCTCTCCAAACAACGTGCCCTACTATATCAAGTAAGTACTCTCTCCCAAAATTGGCCCAAAAGTGTTTCTCTAGCACCATTATGAATAAACGTCCCTTCCAGGGATCCAGCGTTTCAGCACTTTTGTAGATATAACCCAATCAATTTGATGCTTTACTGCTGCTCTTCCAGCTATTTCCGACAAAAGATATAAATCTTTAGATTTGAATTAGATTCCATTCTAAATTAAAGTGAAAAAGCCCAAAGGTCTGGAATGTCAGCTCATCCACAATCTCTCTAGGTGCTTTATTAGATGCATGGCTCATACCTCATCACACCTCAGTATGATGGTCTTCAACCTGAGGGGTCTGAAATACATCAGGAAAAGCTTAAAGTTGCCACTGATCTAAGCCCGAAATCTCAGGAAAACCAAAATGTGGACCTGAGTCCATCCATTGGCTGGTTCAGTGGACTATATCGCTTGGTCTGGTCTTTGAGATGCAGTCCTGGTAGCACAGAAAGTGGGAAAATGTTCGTACTTTGTAAACATTGCCAACCAAGGTCCCACTGATGCTGCGCAATGACCCAACCGGGATTCCTTAGTCCCATCTCCAAAGAACAAATGTGGATGAACTCCACAATTCCACCAATCAGTCTCACGTTGCTACTTCAAGAGGTCTCATGAGGACCTGATCAAAATGACTCAAAGGAGTGTCGATCAAGACGTATGTCTTATATGTCCTATATGTTTTATATGTTTTATTTTCGACTGAAAATCCCTCCACTAGCAGGAAAAGCAAAACGAGTTGAAAACTTGCAAAACACAAGACAATAAGTCTGACGCAGACTAGAAGTCCACTAGAGGGGAAACAGGAACAGGTGGACACAGTCGGGAAGTAGGGACCAGAAGAAGGATCTCAAATAAGAGGAGAGTCACTTTTCAAAATAAAACAGGAAATGACATACCAAGACGTGACAAAACAAAACCAAAAACCTTTGAAAACAAATTGTTTCAGATCAGAAAGCATGCAATAAGGTAAAAAAAAAAGCTTTTAAAACAAAGTTGCAATATTTTAAGTGGAAATTAAAGGCAAAATCTAAAATGATGTTGTCATCTTGTCATCAAAATGTTGTTTCTGATTTCATTAGTGGTTTGAAGTGTCTTTTGGACAGGATCCATGCAATTCACTTTGGAAAAAATCTAAATGAATGTATGGGCTTATTTTACAACCATTGTGCCAACTTTGTAGACAAGGTAAAATAGAATCCAATATAATTTTTTTTTTTTTTTTGCAAGAGCTTCAAAAGCTCACATAACACACAAAAACAGGCTTTTTGGGATGATTTGAAAAGTGGCAGCTAATCTTTAATTTGATCACATTTACTGCCGTCCAGATGTGTCATATTCTTGTTTTATTAAAAGGTAATAACAATGTCCACAAACTATTTGTGGAAGAAGAGGGAAGTAGGAGACTTCCTAGTAGAAATAGGAATCACTAGGTCTCTCTGTCAGCAGGAAACTGTGTTTTCGTACCATAATGTACAATAACCATCACTCTCATAGGTTTTCGTATTGCTTTCGGTGCCCTCTAGTGGTCGTAGGCCCTAACAGCAGATTTTTTTGCTTGTTTTTCCTTAATTTTTTCCAAAACGTGTTGGAACTGGCAGGACCAGTTGTTTGACCTCTTGGAAAAAAATCTTGCATTATTGTTTCACCATTGCATTGGTCCTGAGAAGGACTAAAATCTTATTTTATTTTGAAGGCAAAGGCCAAAATCGGATGTGAAACCATATTAAAACTGAAAAAATAATCTGGTTTATATGAAAATCTATCTCCGAGGGGGCTCTTTTATAACAAAGAAACGCCTACATGTCCAGACTTCTATCCCCCTAGTCCGGTTGTATCATGATTTAACAAAGTATTACGAATCATAAACACATATCTGGATAAATAAAAGGGTTTGTAGTTGTCTGGGGACTAGGAGGTGATAATAAGGACTGTGAGGGACAGTTAGATATGAGGATACAATGGTCTGGCTGTAGCCACCATGCGTCATGGTACGTTTGGCAGGAGCTGCCCCCCCGATGCAACCCGTGCTTTTTCCCGGGCTAGGGACCAGCACAAACCAGGACTCGGAACACCGAGCCCTATATGAGGCAACTGGAGGGGGGGGGGGGCTGGGGAAATGAGGACATTTACAGTTGTAACTTCCAACCATGGAAAAGCAGGTTTTATGTACCAAAAAATCAAATAAACCAAACAAACAGTTGCTCAATGTATTGTAGAGATTGCTTATAGAGCTCTACTTGGCTAAATAGCTCGATAAGGTTCCGTTTTAGCTATTCCTGTTAGGGTTTGAGAGCTGAAAAAGATCAGAAAGAGTCAAACTACCAGGTCTACCTGGCCTCAAAGGACTTAAGATGCTCTGAACTGTCAGGTCGATTTGCCCTACTTACGCAAGGAACACAACCCAAGTCTTCCCCGGCACATTTGCATCTGACTGATGAAGCAAATCTGAAGCAATCGTTTGAAAAGCTGCAAGACAAACTGACTGGCTACAGGTTACAACCCTGTAGACCAACTAGGTTAGACAACAAATGCAGCAGAACTCACCCGAAAGAAGAAATTGTCTCGATTAACTTGAATTTTTGGGAGTATTTGTCGCGTTTGTCACATTTTAGTAGAGCCAATTCACTTCTTTTTTCTTTTTTCAAGCTTGAAAAGTCCAGTTTAGTTTTCTAGACATCGTTCTTCTTCATTTCTGAAGAAGTTTCTTGGATGGGAGGTGAAACTTCCTTCTTCAGCTAACCCTAAACGGAACTTTTCAGGCTTGACCAGGACCACAGATATTTTCTTTTGGATGGATAGGAGTCCGGTCAAAAAACAAGACAAAAACAAGTCATTCTGCAAAAAGAAAATCTTAAACCACGCAATCCAAATCTGGATTCAGAGATCTCCCTTTAGGGCTCTTTGGGAAACTCTCAAAACATGTTCTTTATTGTATTTATTACATATGAATCTGCACTCTGGATGGTTCTGGTTCTCCTCAGTCCAGTTGTAATTATTAAAATGTTTTCAAAAGCAACTGTTAATGGCATGCTCACTCTTCTTGAAGTATTACTTCTTGCATTCGGCTATATGCAAAGTCAATTGGCTGTAAAAGACCTGGGAAACATGGAGTATTTGGGAATTTTTCTGGGTGGTGTCCAGACATAGTCAGGTAAAATTGAACTGCATCAAGGAGGCCATTAAAAGCTTAAACTTTCCGGTGAATTACTCCCTAAAAACCTACAGTTTAACACCGACTCGTACAGCCAAAGGTCCATGTTTCTGCTCATTTCCGGCCTATCCCCATCCTCCGCCGGGTCAGGCCTTCGGTTTCCCTCTAAACCCCCTTTTGCTCAGTTGAGGAGGACCAGAAACCCTTTTGGGATGATGTCAAGACTCCTCTTGCTCCCTGAAACAGAAGGGAGGGGGAGGGCAGGGGGGAGTCAAAGGCAGGGAGCATGATATCCACCTTGTCTAGTACAGCCTGGCCAAGTTTTCAGGAGGCAAATAGGTGAAGACAGGAAGTAAGCTGAGCGTAGCTTCAAAATAAGGCTGTCCCTTCTCGTTCGCTGTATTTGACTAAATGTTTGCTTGGGTTAATTGTTCCTAGGCCAGATTAGCCTTAGACACTGGTTATGAGTTGGGTGTAGCCCCCTAACCCTAACCCTAACCCAGTGATCGGTCCCTTAGACAATGGCCGGAAAACAGTGGAGAGTAAGACTACTATAGTAGAACAAATTTGATTAGTTCCAGGAGCAACTTCTATGTTAAATATTGGTTTGTTGGTTCAAATCTTCCATCAGAATACTCTGTAATTCCTAGAATTGGTTCCAAAAACCTACAATAACTCCTTAATAAATACTGCGGATTATTATACAAGAAATTAATTATAAAGAAATAATCAATAAAATTCCAATTTTTATTTGCCACCTGAACTTTAAACTAACTTAGCTTATTTATTTTGATTACATTTTTAGATTTTACATATTTTTTTCTCTGACTTCAACGTCATACGCCGCTGTATGTTGGAAAATTAGTCGAATATTTGATCGAATTTCACTTCGGATGTTGGTAAATTCGTATGTTTAGGCAATCGGAAGTAGAGGTTCTGCTGTACTTGAAAATAAATTTAATAAAATCTTGTATCTAGCCCTTTTCACCTCAAGGGAAGAGTGATACCCGTTTGACTAGCCAGCAATACCGCAATATCATTTGGTAATTACATTACGCTGATTATGCATGTTGTGACGTTTTGCTTCCACTTTGTGCCAGTTCCCTGAGGAGCACTGAACTAAAAAATGAAGTATCTGAGGGCAAAAACATGCTCTGCTGTGGATTATAGCTGATTACGACAGGTGTTGCTTTTCGGTGGAACTTTGTGGCTAGAGCCAAATGTTCTGGGCTCTTTGTGAAGTCACCTGGAGAATTTTTATTCAGCCCGTTAGCCCGATTCTTTAGTTGGAAACCTGAGAATAAACCAGAGTAGCCCAAAAGTACAAAAATAACAATTATTGGACACAGTTCAGTATATCAGCTCTGCTCTAAGAGACAAAAATCCTCCTCAAAGGAGGACTGGACATAACCAAGTCCTATTGGCCAGTTAGCTCTGGGCATGAACAGGCCAGGTCCTAATTCATGCAGATGACAGGAATGTGCTAACAAATGGTGTGTGTTTGTGTTGACCTAAAGGTGTGGAACAAAGAAAGAAAAAGAGAGGCCAGAGACTTTAACAAAAAGCAAAGATCTAAAAAGAATAAGACAATCTGTAATTAACATGGATTATGTGATAGAATACTATGCTAAAATGAGTCATTTTAGCCAAATTCTAACTAGCCTTTTTTTTTTTTTTTCATTTAACCACATTGTAGCATGTGTTTATCTCATGATTACGTCCTGGATTAGTTGTTTCCGGAACACGATTGTTTTCCTTTGAATGGTCTGATGGCAGGAGGGTAAAAGATGGAGAGGCAGAACCGAAAAAGGACAAAAATGTCACAGGGAGGAAAAAGGCTCTGTAAAAATGTTTGAAGGTTAGCTAAACCTGCTGGAAAAACCACTGGCTGCTGCTGTCCTTCAACCTGGATCTACAACGGATCAGGACTGGAAACAGAAAGGAGCCAGTTTGTGGTTCCTGCTCAGACAGGAAGTAGAAGTTTAAGATTTAAAGTGTAATGTTCTGTTTTTATATGAAGAAAAAGGAGTGTTTATACCTTTATTTCTTTTGTGGTGAGACCTGTTCTGCTTAGCTACACAACAGAGCTGTGAATGCTCATCCGGGGGGGGGGGGGGGGTCCCCTCACGGCGGGAGCCCCCCGGCGCGGGAAAAAAATCGGGGCTTTTATTGTGAAAGCGCGGGCGGAAGCGTCCTTCTCCCGTGTAGTCCCGCGGCGTCGACCCGCCGTGTTTCCCTCTGCAATCCCACGGAAAAGGAACCCACAAAAGCACACCCAGAAAACAACCCCCTCCTGCCGGCGGCTGCCCACGGCCGGCCGCAGCCCGAGGAAAGGCGTCCCCGGTCGGCCTTTTCTCTTTTCTTTCTCCCGGGACTTTTCCCGCTTCTCTCGGATCGGTCGGTCGGCTTCATCCGTCCTTTTGGATTTTGCAGCGATGCGGGAGCAGCTCCGAAAGTGAGTGGGCCGGAGGGGGGGGGGGGGGGGGG